TATATATATATATATATATATATATATATATATATATATATATATATATATATATATATATATATATATATATATATATATATATGTAAATTTTTTTTAAAAAAAAAAAAGAGAGAGAGAAGGCAGCTCGCGAGCCGGCTCGCGAGCTGCCGAACAACTAATTTTAGGCTCGAGCTCGAGCTCGAAAAACCCGAGCTCGAGTTCGAGCTTTTTTTGAGCCGGCTCGTCGAGTTCGGGAGCCGGCTCGGCTCGTTTACCACCCCTACACACAACCCCTTAATTCGGATTTTACAGTTGACTTAAGGAAAATGACAAAAGTATCCTTACCAAGGAGAAGGAAAAAGGGAAAAAACAAAAAATAGCTAAGTATGAAATGTGATGTCTGATAAAGCAAGCAACAAACACGTTCAACGAAACGTATCCTGCATTTGGTTTTCGTCCCACATCGCCGCCGACCGCCTTTCGCCACCGGCTTTCCGCCATCATCAAACCACCATCAAAATCCCATCACCTCAACGTCCCTCCACCATCATATATTTTGTTTTATTTTTGTACTCAAATCGAATGTCAAAACCTAAAACATGGAAATGGATTGTGTACTCCCAAAACAATAATATTATGTGGTTCTAATCGAATTATATCTGGGGAAGTGGTGTATTTTGTTTCTGGAATCGGGGGTTTGTGGGTGGCTTGAAGAATGGAGAAGGGCTGGTATAATCGACGGAGATGGAGTAGTCGAGCATCTCCTTGTACGGCAAAGGGTCTCAGCAGCTCTCTCCAGAAATTGGGCTCCGGTTTCTCCTCCTCCAATTAGTTCGAAACAATTGGGGATGAGATCATTTGGAGAGATGGTGTTTTTGAAATTGTCAGGGATTACATCGAAAATTATGAAAATTTCATTTTGGTTTATAAAAAATTCAGGATGAATTGTAATTTTTGAAAAAAATGATTTAAAGGGTATTTGTGTCTTTTCAGGTAAAAAAACACACCGCCAGTTGCCCAACCCACGCGTGCAGCACACGAAAATCTTTAAGGGGGTTTTTTGGCTTTGACTACCTTTTATAGGGGGTATTTGCTAATTATTTTAACACAGGGACTTTTACGACAATTAGAGTTTACACAAGGATAGTTTTTGCAAGAAACCCACAAAACAATTATCCACTTGATTCCTTATTAATTGATCTAATCCTTCTCTCTCTAACCACAGCCGTTTACGGCGAACGCTTCGTTGCGATCGACATAACATTCCAAAACACGGCGGGCCCACATAAGCACCAAGCGGTGGCCGTGAGGAACACCGCGGACCTCTCCATATTCTACCGCTGCTCCTTCGAGGGCTACTGTTGAGTGTAGATTTTACGCTCAATGTGTTTACTTTACGTGTATCTTTTGTTTAGATTTAATTATATTTGTGCTTTAATTGATTGATTTTGTGTTTTATAGGTCAAAAACGAGAATTATGTGTCCATGAAGGAAAAAAGATCAAAAAGAAAGGAAAAAATTGCAAATAAGGAAATAAATCAAATTGGAAGAAGGAATCTCTCCACAGCTTTGGCAGTGTCCACCATTTCGAGCATATCTCTCTCATACGAACTCCAAATCAGCTTATTTTTGCGGCATTGTATAGCTAATTTAAAGGGCTACAATTCTTATTCACACAACATTCCAAAATTCGGACTCCAACATGGCGAAAATCGAAGAACAAATCATGATGGGGGAAAGTTGCGGAAATTGATTCCTATTAGGTTTCCACTACTTCCTTATCAAGAAAAGCCTATAAAAGCAACAAGTCTCCACCATAAGCACGAAATTTTACACCACAATACGCGAGGAACGAAGATCAACGAAGACTCAAGCATAGTTTTTCTTATTTAATTTATTTCTTTTATTTTCTTTATCATAAGAATCACGAGTAGCTAAGTCTTTAGTTTCTAGGATTTTATTTGGAACCCTATGTGGGATTTATGAACCCTTTTCTATGATTTTATGCAAGTTTTACTTCCGGATTATTTCTTCTACTTGTTTTATTAAGTTCATGAAACTGTCCGCTTTATGTGCTTTTATGTTATTGTTAATCGCATGAATCGGAAGATCGGGTTAATAATTAGAACAGTGGTAGAAGAGCCTGTGTGGTATTAACATATGAATATAGTTAATCTCTTAGGTAGCCATTATTGAGATTTGTGCTTAACGATTTGTTCTAGAATTAATTGCGTAGGAATACAATAATTGAATCTAGAGTATTAGAATCGTAATACACGCGGAAGCGGGTTATGATTAATTTAACATCTCACGTTAATAATCCGGGTTAATTTCTTGCATAATTGAAGGAATTGGGGGGGAGTAATAATAACGTAGGGGGAAGAATAAAATCCTTGGCTTGTTTACTCTGATAAATCTTCGTGTTTAATTTGCTTTCTTGCTTTGTCTTTTTAATTTGCTTTAATTTAGTTAATTCTCTCTAAAGTCGACTGTGTAGGGTGGGCTTGATAATAATTGGTAGAATTTAGCGTCTAATTAAATAATTAAATATTCTCTGTGGGATCTATATCCGGACTTAATTGTCCACTTTATTACTTGTACGATACGTGCACTTGCGTGTAGGTATTCCAACCAACAGCTACCAAGACACACTCTACGCCCACTCGCTCCGACAATTCTACCAAGACTGCAACGTCTACGGCACGGTAGACTTCATATTTGGCAACGCGGCCGCCGTATTCCAAAGCTGCAACCTCTTCGCCCGAAACCCAAAAAATCGCGTTCACCGCACAAGGCCGAACGGATCCGAATCAAAATACCGGGATATCCATCCACAACTGCAGTATCCTCCAAGCTAGTAGTACGTCGTCACCGGATTATTATAATTCGAATTATTATATTAGTTATAATTATCTCGGTAGGCCTTGGAAGGAGTACTCGAGAACGGCGTACATGCCATCGTATATAGGGGATTTGATCGACCCGATCGGATGGTTGGAGTGGAACGGGACTTACGGAAAAGATACGCTTTATTACGGGGAGTATGGGAATTATGGTCCGGGTGCCGGGACGAGTATGAGGGTGACGTGGCATGGTTATGATGATGCTAAAATATAGCTCACCTAGGGTGGTGTAGAAAATGAACTGGGAGAGCAAAGCGGATCAGTAGCTTGACAACTTGATGATCCGGAGGTACCTGCGAAATGAGCACACGTGAACTACGCCGGGGGTTGATCCGGCGGAAACCCCTCCGACGCTCAAGTCAGACGTGCTGATAGTGGAAATAGTCCAGAGAATACAGTTGATAGTATTACTCAGTTAATAGGACGTACCTTGAGGAATGAGTTCAAACATTTATTTATAGCTTAGATGAGATTGTTGGGCCCAAACCTTATTTGAAGGTGATTGGGCCACGGTGATAATGGTCTTAGATATTGGGCTCGTGGCCCAATAGATAAAGAAATTGTAGGCCCATTGGGCTGGCCCAATTAGGCATATCATTAAGCCCCCCACTCTCGAGTCGATGTGGGGGCCTTATTGGAATGGGTGACAGATCGTGTCGAGAGTAAAAATTGTAGTAGTCGATGGTGTGCGAAAACGCGTTGGAGCGTGTGTCGGAGGGGCGTGAATGCGCGTTGGCGCGTAGCGCGACCAAGTTGTCGCTATGTAAGTTATTTGAGTCGTCGGTGTTGTCCCGCGACGATGTAGTAGCGAATTATCTCCTCGTGGGAGTTGTCTCGTCGCGGGGTAATATAGTTGATCGAGTTATCTCCTCGTGGGAGTTGTTTCGCGATAATGTGGTAGCACGGATCAAGTAATCTCCTCATGGGAGTTGTCTCGTCGTGGGGTAATAGAGTTGATCGAGTTATCTCCTCGTGGGAGTTGTCTCGTGATAATGTAGTAGCACGGAGCTAGTATTCTCCTCGTGGGAGTTGTTATTTATCGACATTGCCAATGTTTTGACGCGTTGCTTGTATGTGTTTACATATAGCCTTGTGCGTGATGTACTTGAGGAGGGGATCAGGCTCTCAAGAGTTTTTTTATGGGGATCGTGCCCCTTGTTAGACCTCGTGGGTCGTAAGTATGTTTGGACCGTGGCCACGTTTTAATGAAGGACCCATCGAAAACAAGTAGATAAATTTTGAGTAATCAAGCTGGCCAGGCTATATAGATTCTCATAATATCTCTAAGTGTTTCTAGGGTTGTAATCGTGCTAACTTGAGCTTGCGATTATGTAGTGCATTGCGAGCGAGTTGTCTCTTCAAGAGAGTTGTCTTGCAGCGAAGTTGTAGGAGCATTGGATGACGCGCGATTAAGGAGCGTGCGGATTGAGGTTGCTCTGAGCGAGTTGTCTCCTCGTGGGAGTTGTCTCGCTGCGAGTCTTATTATCAAGCGAGGTGGTTGTACGTGGGAGTCGTCTCGCTACGGGTTGTAGTATCGGGCGAGTTGGCTCCTCGTGGGAGTTGTCTCGCTGCGAATTGTGGGACAGAGCGAGTGGTCTCCTCGTAGGAGTTATCTCGCTGTGGTTATGAGACCCGATGGAGTTGAGTTACCTCGCAACGGGTTATAGGACGGAGCGAGTTGGCTCCTCGTGGGAGTTGTCTCGCAAGCCCCCCACTCTCGAGACGATGTGGGAGCCAAGTCGAAAGGGGTACCGGATCGTATTGAGAGTAGATCGGTGCTGTAGTCTTGCGTTAATCGTTGGCATGGCGTGGAGAAATAATTAATTTTTTTTTTCATTTGATAGCGAACGCAATTTGGTAGGTGCGTTAAAGAGCTCGCGCAATTTGGTGGAGCGCGTTGAAATTTTCGTGCGATTTGGTGAATCGAGTCAAAATCTATGCGCAATTTGGTGGAGGACGGTGAAAGTTCCTTGCGATTTAACGAAGCGCGTCAAAAACTACGCGCAATTTGGTGGAGTGTAGTAAAAGTTGCACGCGATTAAATGTATATAGGGGAGGCGCGCGCGCGATTTGAGGTGTAGGGGGGCGCGCGATTTGATGGGTGGCATGGGTAGCCGCGCGCGCGCGGAAAGAGGTGCAGGCGCGTACAATTCACGCGCGGGAGAGAGGGAGTGCGGCGCGTGCTTTGCACGCGCGGAGAGAGAGAACGGGCGCGTGCGATGCACGCGCGCAGAGGCATGAGGCGCTGTACACCTGGGCGCGTGACACGCACGCGCGCGTGAGCGCCACGCGCGTTCTGGATTTTTTTTTTTTTTTTTTTTTTTTTTTACCGTGCGTTCGCGCGGACCAAGGCACCCTTGGGCAGAGCGCGCTGACACGCGCGTTTTTTCTTGTCTTTTTTTTCTTTTTCTTTTCTTTTTTCTTTTTTTCTTTTTCTTCTTTTTCTTTCTTCTTTATCTTCTTCTTCTCTTTTTTGTTTTTTTTCTTTTTTCTTCCAATTCTTCTTCTTTTTCTCTCTTTTCCTTTTTTCTTCTTCTTTCTTCTTTCTTTCTTCTTCTAATTCTTCTTCTTTTACTCTCTTTTTTCATCATCTTCTTCTTTTTTTCTTTTTCTTTCTTCTCATCTTCTTCTTTTTTCTTCTTCTTTGATTTTTTTTTCTTCTCATCTTCTTTTTCTTGGGTCTCGCGTGCGCGATTTTACCCCCTTTTTTTTTACTTTGGTGGTTGATGTTCACCCCTTGGGATGTTATATTTTTTGAGTAGGGAGATTATACTCGTCTCTTGAGATGTGATGTGAACCCACTTGGGGTTGAAAGGTAAGGGTGATGCCCAACCTTGGGATGGGTTAACTACCCATTGTAGGATGAGGCGCTCGAGACCTATGGTCTGAGGTGGATGCACACGGTTGTGTCGTTTGCTTCAGTGACAACACGAGTTGAAGTTTTCGCTGTCGTATGCTAGAGGTCCTTATCGGTTATCTGAACCGTTAGAGGAGCAAGTAGAAGTTGATTTTGTTGAAGTTTCGGCGATCATACGCTGAAGGTCCTCTTCGGTTATCTGAACCGTTCGAGGGGGGGCGGAAGTAGGCCCCCTGAGAGTCGATGACCCATGGCGAACAAAATATTTTGGGGGCACTGTAAACCCCCAGGGAGTCGATAACCCTTGGCGAACGAAATATTTTGGGGGCAGATGTAAGCCCCCAGGGAGTCGATAACCCTTGGCGAGCGAAATATTTTGGGGGCACTGTATACCACAGGGAGTCGATAACCCTTGGCGAGCGAGATATTTTGGGGGCAGATGTAAGCCCCCAGGGAGTCGGTAACCCTTGGCGAACGAAATATTTTGGGGGCAGAAGTAAGCCCCCAGGGAGTCGATAATCCTTGGCGAGTGAAATATTTTGGGGGCAGATGTAAGCCCCCAGGGAATCGATAACCCTTGGCGAGTGAAATATTTTGGGGGCAGATTGTTGGGCCCAAACCTTATTTGAAGGTGATTGGGCCTCGGTGATAATGATCTTAGATATTGGGCTCGTGGCCCAATAGATAAAGAAATTGTAGGCCCATTAGGCTGGCCCAATTAGGCATATCAGGTTACAATGTGATGAATGCTTCTCAAGCTTTGAACTTCAGTGTTTATAATTTCACCATGGGAGATGCTTGGTTGCCTTTTACTAGTATACCTTTCTCTGCTGGATTGTTATAGTGATATTAATTAATATATAGCTTTTGCTAGTTAGCATTAATTATATTGTTTTTGTTTTATTTGTGTTTTCTTTTTTGGGAAATGGTTTTATTATGAAATCTTCTTGCTTCTTTTCTTGGGAGATGACCAGGTGAGAGAAAATGTATATTTGTCCAACTTTAAATTCAAATGCTGCAAATATTTATGTTTAGGTTATTCAGTGTTTACCGCTTCCTTTTTAGTCATGATTAATTAAATAATTAGAACTTATTGAATGTTTGGTTACTCAAATAACTTCTTAGGTTGGAGCAACACCGTAGGAAAATGAATATTATCCAACTGATTGATGGTGGATAAATTGATTGCGCAACCAAAGAGTCTTTGAGCCCACAAGGGTAGAGAATAGCGAGAGTCACTGCCATTTGTTCGAGGTAGTCGAAAAATGCCATGTGTTCGAGGTAGTCAAAGAGACGGCTCCACTCATTGCTACTCAAATGTCGATTTATTTCAACACACCATTGAAACTGACTCTTTTTTTTTTTCAATTATAATAATTTTTATCTTGTCTAACAGGAAAGAGAATCATCGCACCAAAATGCAAATGCAAATGCTTAATAATTTCTAATCCGAATAAAGCTTTGTTTTTTTGACCATGTCCCCCACCTTGTCGTTATGAATCGTTGTGCCGGGATCATTTTTGTACCTTTGATTGATGTATCGCAATCAATGTTGATGATGGTACTAAAAATCCACACCCTCAAGATCTCCTTATCAACAGTGATTATGAAGCAGTCAATAGAATGTGAAGATAGAGTTTAGAAAAAAAAAAACATATATTATTGATGTAAAATTTAACCATTTTTGGGTTAACTACAAGCCCTTATATAAGCTGGATGACCTTTTTCCTATCTTTAATTCTGAAGAACTATTATTCTATTAGAACTTCTATTCCCTACTTCCCTTGGTCTCCCTAAGTAGCTCGTCTTCCTACCATAATGGGCGATCAATCGAGGCGAGCTGATTCTCTTTCTTGTCTCTCCTTCATAGCTTCTTTAGCGAACTCATCCAATCCACTTTAAGACCTTGCTTCGAGTCGGCCCACGAATAGGAGAAGATCCTTTGATCACAAGTTATCAGATGCAATCTTCTTTGGACGTCCTCTTCCACGTCTAGCCATTTCTTTGTGCTGTTTTTCTTTTTTTTCTTTCTTTCTGATTCTCTTTGAAATTTGGAATCTCTCTCGCTCACTTTTATATATATATATATATATATATATATATATATATATATATATATATATATATATATATATATATATATATATATATATATATATGCGTGGATGAAAAAATATGGGGTCATTATAAATAAGCCCATCAAAGAGTACTTATTCATAAAGAAATTCTGGCAAAAAACTCGTTTACCAATAAGTCCACACATAGTCCAGATTTTTGTAAAGGACTAAAATAACCCCTCATACTTTAATAAGCTCCAATTTCATCCTTAACTTTATTTAACCTCAAGTTGACCCCAAATTTCACAAATTATTCAATTTTGACCCAAAACTTTTTTTTCCCGCCGGATTCCGGCGTTGACTTTTCATTTTTTTTTCTTTCGGATATTTTCGCCGTCTCCAGCGTTGACTTTTTTGATTTTTGATTTCTTTTTTTTTCTTTTCTTTCTTTCTGTAATTTTTTTTTCGTTTAAACAACAATATTGCTGTGATTGACAGTGATATTAACTATATTACTGTTAAACACAGTAAAATTAACTTAACTATAGTTTTACACAGTAATATTGCTATAATAATCTCTAGCATACTAATATTAATACAACAAAACTCATTATTATTGTGTAATAGAGTAATATTACTATGTTGACCATTCAACAAATGTAAACATAAAAAAGCCAAAAGAATTAATATTACTGTGAGTGACAGTAATATTATTACGTTACTCAGTGAATAATTCAAACAAACAAAAAATTTCAAACAAAATAATAATATTGACGTGGTTTACAGCAATATTACTATAACAACTGTAATATTACCGTCAACCACAGTAATATTATTGTATTTACAGTAATATTACAATAATAGACAGTAATATTATTACGTTACTCCGTGAATAACTCAAACAAAATAAAAAACCCCAAAAAGTTATAATTGATGTTGTTGACAGTAATATTATTGTGTTTACAGTTATTTTACTGTCAACGGCAGTAATATAATTACGTTGACTAGTCAACAAATAAAAAAAAAAAATTAACAAAAAAAAAAAATAATAATATTAAGTTAATTTACTGTCAACGGCAGAACAATTACATAAATGTATTGCCAACGGCAGTACAATTACGTTAATTAACTGTCATTGACTGTTGATCCGACTGGATTCGTGGTGGGCTGGTTTAAAGAGTTGAGTAGGCCTGAATTTGGACCGGAGACCACGGTAAACCTACAAGGAAGAAAATAACCGGACTTAGGCCGGAGTTAGCACTCCGACGGCCAAGTCAGTAACTTTCTCAAGAAGATATTATGTTTATGTGTGCAATTTAGGTATATGATTTTTTCTTGTGTTTTTACCTGTATTTACTGCCCCTATTTATACTAAAGAAAGGGACGGACGTCAAATATTCTTCAATTTAATTTACCTGTCCCTTTCGCGGTAATTAGGCATCCGGACCTCAAATTACCTTCGATGCAGTTTAATCCGTCATTTCATTGGCGGCTGCGGGGGCAAAAAGTAGGGGCCGAAAAGACATTCCTCTGCGCTTGTCAGTAGATTGGACGTGCATTAAATATCCCCATGTGCAACAATGATCATCTCCGGTTGGCGGCGAGAAGCTTGGAGGGAGAGCGAGTCAGCGAGAAGCCTCTCGCTCGCGGGTTACTCGCGACCCGTTGCTTGGTCCCTCTCGCCTAACGAGTACCAGTTTAATGGGCCCTCTTCTGTTAATGGGCTTAATGGTGCCTTTTGACCTCGTTTGGGCCTTTGGTCTTTATTGGATCTATCAAGCGATACCGGGCTGGATCAACTAGTCCCCCACTCGCGGTTACTTGCGACCTGATGCTAGTGGCTGCGAGTTCGCTCATTTGCGAGAGACGGCTTGTATCCCGTTCCGACGACTCGCTTCTTAGCATAATCATTTGCACTGTTTCGAATAACGTGTCTCGTTTCACATTCCGTAGCAGAAAAACCGTACAAATTCCGAATAATTAAATAACTGAATTTATTATTCTATTTAATTAAAACCGTTTTTCTTTTTTTTTTTTTTTTTTTTTTTTTTTCTTTTTGGAAGTTGCAGCGCCGCCTGCGCTGTCCACTCACCATTAATGCAGCGCAGGCGGGTCTCTTCAAATCCCGCACTTCCGACTATAAAAAGGGGAGTCCTCCTCACTCCTCTCCTTTACATTCATCCTCCTCCTTCAGCCCCTCTTCTTTTTCCTCTTTCCTTCTCCGGCGTCGGGAATTGCTTTTCTCCTCCTCCGGTTCCTCCCTTTCATCCAGGTAAATACTTTTCTATCTTGCTTTTGTGATTCTCCATTTCTTTTTTTTTTTTACGTGTTTCTCCTCCTTTGCTTCTACTCCATGTCCTCCGAGTCTTCCTCCTCTTCCTCCGGAGAGATTCGTACCCCTGTAATTCGCCTCGGCCCTCTGTCGGAACAGAGAAATAGGCCCAAGAAGAGGGCCGTGGTATCCAAAACCCGAGGCCCACCGGCCACCTCTGCTCGCCAGAAGAAGCAGAAAGGCAAGGCCCCACTCCTCCCGCGACATAAAGGGGGGGACGATACGACCTCCCCCTCTAGCGGAGAGAAGGGGGTTATTAGGGTTCCGAAAGTGAGGGAACCCTCCGTTTGCATTTTGACCAACCCCCAGTACTCGATTTTGACCCCCGACGATATTGGCGACCTACTCGTTCGTCAAGGGGTAGACATTTCCTACGATTTAGCTCTTCCTCCCCCCTCGCAAGATTCCCTTCACCCTCTTCCTGGCTATATGACCTGGCATATTGACAAATTGCTCTCGGGTTTATCGCTGCCCGTTCACCCCTTTTTCTTGGATGTGGCTCGCAAATTTCGCGTGCCCATCAACCAATTTCTTCCTAAGTCTATTAAATTTATGTCAGCCTTTTTTATTATCTGCGCCGAGGCCTCTATAGCTCCCTCCGGCGAGTTGTTCCATTCTGCCTTCAAGGTGAATCGCTCTCCTTCTGGCTTTTTCCATCTTACAGCTCGCCCTGGCGTAGGTCTTTTTAAGGGTCTGACTAACAAAGTACATAATTGGCCCAAGCGTTTTTTATTCATTCGTTCGCCCACTTCTTGGGGCTTTGATCCGTCGTATGTCGAGACAGCCCCTCGCCCTGTTGGGGTGTCTCCCGACTGTTTGGAGGTACTCTCTCGCTTGACCGCTCGCACTCCCCCTAATTGTGGGATGTTGAAAAGATAGTAGCTAGCCCCTCTCTTTTTGCCCGCGCTGGATTGTGGGATATGTCCTCGTCTGACCCTCGCCCGCTGGGTACTTATTAGGGATAATTTCCATATTTCGTTATTATTTTGATTTATTCCACCAACGCTAAATATTGTTAACCATTGTTGCATGTTTGCCATGTGTTTTCCATCAGGCGAGATGATTCGAGAAGCTATGAAGGCGGCTCTCGCCAAGCAGCACGCCCAGTCCTCCCGCACCCCTTCTGAGTCCATGTTGGGTGCTAAATACCAACACGCAAGTGTACGTATCGCAAACAAGTAGTAAAGTAGACTCGTAAGAGACGGATGTCGATCCCACAGGGAATACGCAAATTATTTAATCCTAAGTACCAAATCCTAACAATTATGATTTTTATTCAGCCTACGCAGGGTTGTCAAATTAATTAACTAAATAAATTAAACTAATTAAGAAAGCAATTAATCACGAGAAACTATCAATATAAAACGGATCTAGGATTTTATCTTCCCCCTATGCGATAATTCTTCACCCAATTATTCTCCTATCATGCAAGTTACGATTCACGATTATTAAACC